GGGGATCGAACCCCGGACCTTCTGCTCTCCGGGCAGACGCTCTACCACTTGACCATGGAGGCAGTCTCGCACATATCTAGACTTGCCTATAAGGAAGATAGAATTACTACACACCATGGACTTAACTTGCAGTACAGCCTTGGAGCAAGGCTAAAAGGCTAATGCTGATACAGACATGATAGAAAGTGATGGAGGAAATGATGTGAGATGTGGAGAGATGATGTAGTGCATGTTTTGTCACGTACTACAAATAATGTGACAGGTATAATAGCAGCAGCCCACGCCCCTTGCCCTCAGCCTCCCACAACACTCATCCTCCATCACCCCCACCCCTACACACCTCCCCCTCCAGGCAAATGTCAGATGGTGAGGGTTTGCTCACAGGGAAATGTCAGGGAACAGGTGAACTCAGGGTTCCCAGGACAGCCGTAGGGTGGGGGCGGGGTTAGACTTGCACAAGTCTCTAAGGCAATATTTATTAGTTTAAATACTATTTTATAAATTATGACAACAAGTTGTCCCTGTAAGAGACTGGAGTCCTCATACTGTCCACATATCTAGACTTGTTTATCAGGAAGACAGAATTACTGCACATCCATGGACTTATCTGTCAGAACAGCCTTGGAGCAAGGCTAGGGGTGTATGTGGGGGGTTTGGGATCCCAAACATTTCCATGCAGGACAAAGGTGACACCCATTCTTGAAGGGTGGGGGTAAGGGTTAGGGGTAGGGATGGACCTATAGTTCCTGAGACAGTTGTGGGGCAGGCTGGGTGAGGGGGATGGGGGGGGGGGGGGGGGGGGGGGGGGGGGGTCATCTAGAGTGTCTTGAAGGACCTAAAGGTGAGGGGTAGGCTTGTGGGGTGACATGTTGGTTTGTCATTCCCTGGTGGGGTAGGGGTTTGGTGTGGACCTGTAGTTCCTGAGGCAGCTGTTGGGTGGAGTGATGTTGAAGTATTGTTTCCAGGACTTGTTGGGGTGGTGGGGTGGGCGTGGTGTTGGAACTGTTTCCAAGACTTGACATAGTTGGGATGGGGGGGTTGGTGTGGGGTTGAGTGGGGTTTAGGGTGTTCATGTATCCTAATAGGTGGGGATGTGGTTGGGTGTGTGTGTGGTGGGATTAGGACAGGTGTTAGGTGGGGAGGTATAGTGGGAATTCTGTAATTCCCAGGGAAGTGGAAGGGTGGTTCGATGATGCTGAAATAGATGGACTGGGGGAGGGGGGGGAGGTTCTGGTGTAGGGAGAGAACAATGGGAACAGGAGGATGAGGATGTGATAGGACAACAGTATCATAACAGTTTTCACAACTGTCACAATATATTATTATTGACACTATTGAATTAAAACCCATGAAGATCCAGGTTAGAATCCAATGCTTGCCATAAAAGCGACTACGCTTCTCATAAGAGGCGACTAACAGGATCGGGTGGTCAGATTCGCTGACTTGGTTGATGAATGTCATGGTATCCCAGCTGCGTAGCTCGATGCTCATGATATCACTGCAGCCAGACCCCTCCTGGCTTCATAACATAGCCAGGTTTCTGGTTCTGAGAGTTTTCAGATTGTACCATGATTTGTTTGGATGTGACTTCTCCCCGAAGTTTCAGTTTCTCTGGCTAGTCTTTAACATTCCATCAACCAAAGTATATGACACACCCTTTCCTGACAAAAAAACACCATCTTATCCCAGCTATGTTTTTGTAGCCTCGTGGGGGTGCCCCCCTTCTCTCCTCCTGAGACAGATGCATCCTCCCTTCACAGCATCGCATCTCATACAAAAACAACTGAAGACGAGGAGAATGAAATAACACCCTTCAAAAAAGTTTTAAAAAGAGTAAATCTTAAGAATTTCTCAAATGTTATCCAAAGTGATATGAAAGATTTATTTGAGTGAGTGAGTGAGTGAGTTGGGTTTAACGCCGCTTTTAACAGTATTCCAGTCATATCACGGCGTGTCAAGCTTAATGTGGGAGGAAAGCCCAAAGTGATGCAGGTCTTAGACGTTTACCACTTCGGTGAAACCCACGAGCACGGGTATGGTGCTGACAACCCTTGAAACATAATCGGGGCGAACCGGGATTCGAAACCACAATCATAGGTTTCTGGTGTGTCCAAGTGACGCAACTCTGCACAGCGGGATTTATTTAAGACCGTCTGGGGATGATAGGGCGACATTGAAATAACTTTAGTGCCACTGGACAGTTTAGAAATATATATTAATTTATAGTTTTTTGTTTGTTTGTTTGTTTGTTTGTTTGTTTGTTTGTTTGTTGTTCTACATCACAGTCAGCAATATTCCAGCTGTATCATGGCAACCTGTCTTAATCAAGTCAGACAATCCAGTGATCATCCTCCCCTAATACCTGGTAATATTAAGCTGTAGGCATGGAGACTACTGAAATCGACATAATAAGCAGCTGAAAAACACTGATGTTCAGAAGGATGCATGATGCCCTTGAATTTATTTCCTGTCTTTTTCAAGCCTAATACAGTACCGTATTTAACGCAATAAGTGCCCAGGGAGCTCTCAAAATTAGAAAAAGGGGGCTCTTATTAGAATATTATTTTGGTGAAAAAAACAGAGTTCAAACATAACTTTCGTGGTTTATGCTGAGAGCCTGAAATGTTTATATACAGATATATTTTTCCAGAATTTAATTTCCCATAATTAAGGGTGCATATAACACACAAGTGCATATTATGCACGAATATATATAACTCTTGTGTACATTGATCAATCGGAAGGGGTGCCAATTGGGATTGTTCACTAGCCAATATATTAGCAAATATCGCCGTGGGCGCTTATTAGAGCAGGGCGCTTATTACGTCGAATACGGTATGTAGGGGATGAAGTGAAATTGATACAGATTACTAAAGTTCACACTCCCCATATTTTTTCTGTCTACAATTTTGCTACTATACTAAATGACCTTTTTCCAGCTACATTATATCTACATGTGGTAACGGTGGTAACATTCTGCCAATTATTCTGTTTCCCCTTGTTGGGTCCGGAAGAGGGAGGAAAGTAGAAACACTATTGTGTAGGACAAAAAAATATATATATATGTTTCTTACTTCAGCTCATCCAAACATAGGATAGGTGGGATAGGGGTTGTTTTTCGGGTTTGGTTTGAGCAAAGACATACATACGTCTATCTATATACGTCTTTGGTTTGAATGACTGGTTTGTCTAAAGTGAAGCCTGACCATGAGAGACAATGCCTGTAACACCTATTTATCAATAATCATTTCGACTTTTCCATTTCAAGAGGCCATATCCTGCAAGTCATATGTTTTAGAGAATAGTGAGAAAATGTTAACATTCTTTCCATGGGTTGAATTTGAAATGGGATTCGAAAAAATATCTCAGCTCTTTTTTATGAAGAAGAAAAAACTCAGGCCCTACAAATGAAGACAAAGTACTCTGTGACTCCAAGCCTCATACTAAATAGCAAATGGTCTGCACCTTTTGGGCTCCGGTCAGAAACCAGATACATATGGACAGCCTCTGTGGTCTAGTGGTTGAGCGTTTGCCCGGAGGGCAGAAAGTCTGGGGTTTGATCCCCAGCCAGGTCATACCAAAAGATGTTAAAAGATGGTACTTGTTGTTACCCTGCCTAGCGCTCAGGACTAAGGGGCTAAAACAAGGACTGGTCGGCTGAGAGTCAGTATACTGTAATAGTGTCATTTAACAGTTCTCTCTCACTAAGCAGGATTTAATCCCGCATATATATATCTATATACCAACATCGTCTTACTGTCCCAAGACTAAAGCTGAAATATTTTGGTCAAAGAGCTGTGGTGCAGTTGTTTGCAACCATTTCTTACCCAACCTGAGACTAAAGTCAATCTTCACTTGCAATACCATTGATTTGGATAATTGTTGGGTAATCAATAATTTGTTATCTCCTGTTTGTTCATCTGATGCAATACGACATAGTTTTTGACTGGGCATATGAAATAGCAATTATACTCAAGTGCAGATTATGCACATAAAAATAGGAATGGTGTCATCCATGCCATCCAAATACAATGATGATGATGATGATGATGATGACGGTGACAATGACGATGATGATGATGATTTATTTTATTTTTTATTTTTTTCATTTATTTATTTATTTATTTATTTATTTTTTATTTATTTATTTATTTTTATTTTTTTAAAATTTATTTTTATGTTATACAAAGGAAAGTCCGATTCAACCACAAATCTGAAGGCGTATGTGATGGTCTACGAAACACTCAATAACTTTATAAATAGCAACAAACACAGGGCCTGAAACCCTGTGAACCACAACACATGTTTATTAGTGTATGGGACCCCACTGAGAGGGGTTTGGGTGGAAGCCGATCTGAGGGGGGTTTGTGTGGTGTGTGTTTATAATACAGGCATGTTTCAAGTTTATCACAAAGTGTTTATTATGAAGAGTCCTTGCATTGCTGCTGCTGTAATGCGTGAAGGAAGTGTTTGATTATTTCATCATTGGGGGAGTGAGTGCGTGATGTTCTAGGAGGCAGATATATTTCAGCTATATCATGGTGGTCTGTAGATAATCAAGTCTGGCCGGGCAAGTATCAGCATTTATATGCGAGATATTATGTCAAGGTTATTATAAACAAGATGTAACACTTTTTTGCATCACTCACTCACTCATTAAATCACTCACTCACTCACTCACTCACTCACTCACTCTCACACTCTCACTCACTCACTCACTCACTCACTCACCCAGCCTCACTCACACTCTTTCACTCACTCACTCTCTCACACTCACTAACTCACTCTCACTCACTCACCCAGCCTCACTCACACTCTTTCACTCACTCACTCACTCACTCTCTCACACTCACTCACTCACTCTCACTCACTCACCCAGCCTCACTCACACTCTTTCACTCACTCACTCACTCACTCACTCATAACAAGACAAGCACATGGCTACATTCTCCATCACCAGATACTGAGATGCGTTTCACCTCATCGTGTGTATGTTTCAGGGCTGCTGTGCATCCTGGGGCTCATCCTGTACCCGGCAGGATGGGGTAGCGAGGTGGTCACCAAGTACTGCGGCGCCCAGGCCGACCCCTTCTACATGGACAGGTGCAGTCTGGGTAAGTCAGTCAGTGAAGATTGTTTTACCCCTGCTCTTACCAATATTCATCAATTGGTTGGTTGGTTTATTGTTTAACGCCGCGCTCACCAATATTCCAGCTATATGACGGCGGTCTGTTAATAATTGAGTCTGGACCAAACAATCCAGTGATTAATATCATGAACATCGATCCACGCAATTGGGATCAATGACATTGATCAACCAAGTCAGTGAGCCTGACGACCCGATCCCTTTAGTGGCCTCCTATGACAAGCATGGGTTGCTGAAGACTTGTAGTGACTGCATCTAATTTACATTCCCTGAAAAGTCAATTTCATCGGATGGAAAATCCCGGTCCTATACCACAATACGATCTTAGCACTAAAGCGGTCTATGTTAAAGTATGGGAGTTACAATCTCCTTAGCGCTAAGATTGCTTGGTTTATAGTGGCCCTGACAACTTAACCCTTAAAACCTAAGGAATTACCATATTTGATGTATTAAGCGCTTGCTGAACAACTTCTGGACCAATCTGTAATGAAACGTGACATGACCGTCTATATTTTTTTCTGTACATTGTACATATTACATACAGAGAATCTCACCCGAGTGTCTTTTAATATCAAATATATCAACACGAGTTGATAAAAGTGGAAAAATTCCGAGGCTTGCCGAGGATTTTTGCCACATTTATTAACGAGTGTTGATACATTTGATGTCAAAAGACACGAGGGTGAGATTTTATTTATCATCCAACATCATTCTTCCAACTTTTTCAATTTGTAGACAGTAATTAGCAGTGTCTTCAGTGTAAACAGTACTGCTAACAGCTTCAGTAGCAGAGCCATTAGTGATGTCATTTGATTGTGACGTCATGGTAACCAGTGATGTCACAATGGTCTGCAAAGCATTGTGATGTAATTTCATTGCAGCGCTATCTACAGTGTAGATATCGTTGATCTCATCCAAGCCATATCTCCTGTGGGAGCCAGTTTTGGATGATAAATTACAAATTACAGATGTATATTACATGTTACAGAAAACAGTAGCACAGCGCGGGTATACAATTGTCAAAGTTTTAGTTTGTCAACTGTCGTTCAATCTCTGAAAACAAATTGTACATGTGTATGGTTTTAATACATACTCCCTCCTTTGTCACTTTTCTAAGTACCCAGGGCTGTTTATAGGGTGATTACAGTAAGATTTATTCCAACATCTTTTGTACTGGTCATATACAATTTAATAAAAAAAACTTCTTTTTTTGCAGGATGGGCTTTCTACTTGTGCATCACTGGGACTGTTATGTCCTTCTTCTGTGCATTCCTTTCAGTGAAGGCGGATGAGTCCACTTCTTCCTACAAGGTAGAAGAGGAAGTGCTGGAAGGCAAAAACTTGATATGTGTTGTGTGAAACACCCCTTTTTTATAAAAGGACTCTTCCAATGTCAGAGGAAAGAATCTCCCACTGTACAGATAAAGGGGTGAAAGGCTTACAAACATTTGATAGTTTCATGTTTGAAACTGTATCGCCTAAGCCGAAATGGTTTAGTCCATTAATGGATGTGTTTGCCATATTGTATGTTAAACATGTAACGTACAAAATCAGTGCTATTTTGATTTTTGCGAAGTTTTGTGCCTGGAAATTCTTTGTTTATGCTTGTGATATGATAAACATCTTATTGTACCCATATTAGGAGCCAGTGATTAATATGCAAATAGTCGGGGTCAGTAATTGATCTGGGTCAGTGATTATGCAAATATGAAGGTCAAACTAATACCCCTAGAAAGAGAAATAGGGAATCTAATTTTTGGTTAAGATGATGAAATTAGTTTTTGAATGTTACATTTCTGTTTAAAAAAGCGTTTTGGTATTTTTATTGAGATCAGATTCTCAGAATGAGTGTCTGTGTGAGGGTGAATATTTGTGTTAAATTGTACAAAAAAATAATGTAATTCCGATTGATTTTGCTTGCAAGAAGATATACTCATTTTATTGTCAAGATAATTTGATACAAACAAGTTCTATGTCATGTTATACTGCATCTCCCCAAGTCAGGAGTGTCCACAAGCCTATATGAATGCCTGGTTGGAGATTAGACATTGATGAAGGCTAGAGGGCATGCTTGCCTCGGGAAGACGGTTAAACTAAGGTATCAATATTATCTGAGTCGTATGGTAAACAGATATGACAACATCACAGAGTTCCTGTTTGTAGTCATTTGTATATAAAGATCAATATAGTTTTGTAATTTCATTCCCCTATTTTGTAGCATGTTAAACATTTGTATATTGTGATGCTAAAAGAAGCACCAATGAAGTCAGCACTCATGATCCAAGGGAGACAACTCATCAGCAGGAGCTTCATTCAATCCACAAGTGAAATTTGTATTGAGAGTATCTCATTAAACAGCCTTTGGGGCATTCTGGATCACAGGTGGTAATAACCATGGTTTAAAAGGGACTAGAATGGTTATTGGATGGTCAATTGGTAGACTATTTTTAGTCTCTGAAATGAAAATATATTTCATGTTAAGTTGTTGATTAGTCTTATTGAAAGGAGCCCTGCGAATCTCTTAATTTTTGGATTTTTTTATATATAATAGAAAAGTGTATGCTTCAAATAATGCTGGATATTGGAAAATTATGTTTTTCTTGGCAATCAAAAAAACTGATGTGCAGAATTTAAGGTGATGCATGATACCCTTGAATTATTTCCTGTCTTTTTCAAGCCCAATACAGTACCATATTTAATGCAATAAGTGCCCAGGGCGCTCTCAAAATTAGGAATAGGGGGCTCTTATTAGAATATTATTTTGGTGAAAAAAACAGAGTTCAAAGATAAATTTTGTGGTTTATGCCGACAGCCTGAAATGTTTATATATACGACAGATATATTTTTCCAGAATTTAATTGCCCATAATTAAGGGTGCATATAACACACGAGTGTGTATTATATGCAAATAAATAAGTCTCGGGTAGGTACAACTGGAAGGGGTGCTAATTGGGATTGTTCACTAGCCAATATATTAGCAAATATCGCCGTGGGCACTTATTAGAGCGGGGCGCTTATTACGTCGAATACGGTAGGTAGGCAAGATTTATGATATTTTAAAACAATCTGTATTGATGGTATCAAATTTCATTCATTCATTCTTTATCTCAGTCTCATAGTTCAAATATTTTTGCATCCATGACATAATCTTATTTCACATGTCAACCTAACTGAATCTTAAAACATCTCAACCTTGCAAAAAATACACTCTACGTTTAAACGGATCAGTCAGCGAAATGAAAATACAATTAAAGTGGATCCATCAGTGACTGTAGGATAAAAAACAATATCAAATTTTTATTTTTTTTAAATATATTATGCAAAAATTGATTTTTTTATTGCAGTATTATGGGAAACAACCACACAAAAGGGTTGACCATCATTGGTTGTAAGAAATGTTTTTTTGAAAATCAATTCATCATAGTCAATGTAGTCTCATGCACTGTATTTCATATAGTACATGTGTCAAAGTGCCTATACTTTATCGTATTTTGAAATAATTACACATTTAACTCAATGGAATATTTTTATGTTTAATAAACTATTGAACAAATGAAAGACTTCTTGGTATTTTTCATAAATAATATTTATAATCAGAACATCACTAGTTAGATAGGTTTGTGATAGTTGTAGCACTAAGATGATTGTAACTCCCATACTTTAATGTAGGTTTGTGATAGTCGTAGCGCTAAGATGATCGTAACTCCCATACTTTAACATAGGTTCGTGATAGTCGCGCTAAGATGATTGTAACTCCCATACTTTAACATAGGTTTGTGATAGTCGCGCTAAGATGATTGTAACTCCCATACTTTAACATAGGTTTGTGATAGTTGTGCTAAGATGATTGTAACTCCCATACTTAAACATAGGTTTGTGGTAGTCGCGCTAAGATGATTGTAACTCCCATACTTAAACATAGGTTTGTGGTAGTCGCGCTAAGATGATCGTAACTCCCATACTTAAACATAGGTTTGTGATAGTCGTAGCACGAACATCTTGTTGAGCCACGTTCATTTGTCAAATATGCTGGTATTTATTATCTAAAACTGGACACAGTCATCAAAGCCCCTGGAATTTTCTGTGGAGAGTTGCATCCCTTAGATGTGCCTGGATTGTATAATCATAGGTAGACACCTATGACTTGCATCACTTCGGGTGGCATTAATGTCAATTCACGCAGTGTCTGAATGTATTGTTAGACTGTCGTGAGTCAGTTCTTCGAGATCTCACCACTGAAGTCAGCTGGCATCGTCCACAGACATTCCTGCTACATCAACTCTATTATTGTATATAAATATATTGGACGATGTGCATTTGTCATACCCATTTTTTATTGTAATCTTGGCCATGAAAACTGAGAATATTGAGTGAAATGATGGGTTTTTTTCACTAGTTAAATAACATATGCACATCACCATGGCCTGTATTTGCAGGAGTAATTACAGAAACATTTTCTTGAATTTTCATTGAAACAATGTTTAAATAAAAGTAAACTGTGGAGATGAACATGTATTAAGGGCAGACCAAATTAATTACTTGTTTTATGGAAAAATTGTTTTTGAAAAGCCTTGAGGGAAAAAGAGAATTTTTCTTTCACATGTTGAAGGGCAATACCTAGAATTCTTAAAAAATGCAGTTATGCAAAGAATTGTTTGTTTGTTTGTTGTTTAATGCCGCACCCAACAATATTCCAGCTAGTGGCCTGTAATAAAAAGTCTGGACCACACAATCCAGTGACCTTTCACAGTTGTTACAGAGGCAGTGAGGTAGCCTAGTGGTTAAAGCGTTCGCTCCTCAAGCCGAAGGTCCGGGTTCGATTCCCCATATGGGTACAATGTGAGAAGCCCATTTCTGGTGTCCCCTGCTGGAATATTGCTAAATGCGGCGTAAAATCATTCTCACTCACTGAAAATTGTTACACCAAACTTTAATACTGACCAAATACAAGATGAAATGTCAATAAGAACTATCAAAATGTGAAAAAACAACTTGATTTTATTCTTTTGGTCCATATATTCTACTCAGAAAAGTTAAGTATCACCCGATTCTTTCATATCACTGTAGCTAATCTGTCAGGCCCTGACTGATAAACTATTGTTATATAAAAGAATCAGGCATGGCATGACAGATTAACAATAGTAATATGAAGGAATCAGGTGATCCTTTCCATTTTTGAGTAGTATATATATACAGGAGGTGTACCGTGGACTTGTAGATGTACATCTCCACTGTTCGTAGACTTAGTAGTCTCCCACATGGGTACAATGTGTGAAGCCCATTTCTGGTGTCCCCGCCGTGATATTGTTTGAATATTGCTAAAAGCATTGGAAAACCTTACCAACTCACTCACTCACTCACTCACTCAGCAGTCATTGGAAGTCATCATAAGAGAGTGCCTTCACACCATGTCATTTCTACTGAGATTTCCAGGTTTATGTAGGGGCGGTCGGGTAGCCTAGTGGTTAAAGCGTTCCCTCGTCACGCCGAAGATCCGGGTTCGATTCCCGACATGGGTGAAAGGTGTGAAGCCCATTTCTGGTGTCCCCGTCGTGATATTGCTGGAATATTGCTAAAATCGGCGTAAAACCATACTCACTCACTCACTCCAGGTTTACGTCTCTACTGAAATGTTTGCTTCCATTCTTCCACAATAAATAGTTCTATATGACTCCTTGTTTGTTGTCTTCCAGACCCTGTTTCACAAAGTGATATTGCAAAAGAAATTAGCTCAAGTATATTAAATTCCCAATCGAACATTTTGTACCTATCTCTTGAGATCTACAGTGGGTACCCTGGTAGGGTTGGGAAATAGGAGGTAGGTACCCGGGTAGTAAATTTGGACTCGTCCCAGCCCGAAAACATAACGTCCAAATCAACAGTTTGTGAGGCAACTAAATCAATCGGATGGTCGGACAAGGGGACTTGGTTGGGTGGGTGTCATCACACCCCAGAAGAACGAGGCATTGCTCATGATGTCAGTTACTAGATTGTCTGGTGCCGATTTGATTATTTATAGGTTTCTGTCATATATACTACTAAAGAAAAAGGACCACCCCATTCTTTCATAATACTCGTACTATAGCATGACAGATTAACTATAGAAATATGAAAGAATTGGGTGGCCTTTTTTCTTTAATTTTAGGGGTAAAGATGGAATATTGCCGAGTGCAGTGTCAAACAAAAAACAAACTAAATCTGACTAAATTAGTCGTTAGGATGTGACTTGCGTCATCATCACTGAACGTGAACTGACAATCCATCTTTCCATCTAAAAGTCCAGTTTCCACCCTTGCCGAACTAGACTGAAATTTCTGGGCTCGATCATAGGGCTACCAGTGGCTATTACGAGTTATGTCCCTTCCATACCCCTCCTACTGACCAATCAGATTCCACTTCTCAGATCACTTGCATTAAGTTAAAAGAAAATGGCTGTCCCAGTTCAGACGATCTGATCGATGATAAAGATCAACAGTGTCATAAAACAGGTTTTACTTCACAAAATGCATCAAATCACATGAGCACCTTGATTGAAAAGATAAAAAGATTTAGAATATCTGTCAACGCCAAGTTGACGGTAGACATCCTTTGCAAATCCTGCCGTCAATTGATGTCTGCATGTAGAAATCCATATTATTTACAAACTGGATCTTGAGTTTTGTTTGGACTATGCATAGACTCGTCAGTCCAGCCAAAATGTACCTCCATAATTCCAGCCTAGTTCGGTTAAGGTGGAAACTTGACTTTTACAGTCAGTTACCTCTCTTGCCTCAGGAAGATGCTGACAATCCAGTGATCCACGAGTTGGGATACGATGCCATGCAATCTACTAAGTCACCAAGCCCATCAACCCCATCCATGAAGTCGCCTCTTACGACCAGCACCGGTGGCTGCAGAATACTGTACCCCCATAGTTCACAGTTATCCAAGAACAACAAAGCTTGAATCTGCATAGACAAAATTTATTGACTCCTAAAACATGAAAGTGGAGCGACAGCAACGGACAAATGCTGTGTCCGTTTCGTCTGTCCGCATCTGTACACAACAAGATATACAGGTATATATCAACCACTGTACACTGTACGTATATATATATTGTATATCTATATATATATTTAGGTGATAAGACATCACGATGAATGAGGCCTTGCTCTTCGTAATGATACGGAACCACCGTCACAGAAATCCGCTAAAATAACCAAAACAACATTTATGGCAGTAAAAGAATTCGGAAACAGAATGGCCATCTGTGTAATGTCCTCAAAATCCAGGAACCATTTCCATGGTAACTACAACCCTTGATACAATACTCACTGTAATCTGTGTTTGGGGAAATACAAGAAATTAAGACAATTAACGTTGTGTGAAAAGGTACCCGTTCATTTTATTTAACTTTCAAATTTAAATTTAAATGAATTAGAATTTAACATTAATTGGCCACATTTTGTCCATTTAGCAACATCAGATTTTAAAAAGTTCAAGATTTGGGGGTTAAAAATGAGTAATCTTTTATGTAATCTAAATGAGGAAAAAATTACAATGTAATTAATGTGGTGATTGTTCCCAAAGTTCTCATGTTAGGTAAATTCATTACAAACTCATCTATGTCAAAATGAATTTTGAATTTAAACAAAAGTCAAAACAGTGAGTCACCATAAAACAGTACATTGCATCCAGGGTAGCTAGGTTACTGCAAATGAATATTCCCTAGACTGTTGAGGATGATCTGGGTAGGGGATTATACATATGAAATTGAG